GGTTTCTAAGGGAACTATATGCCTTCAATCCATGTTTCCATGAATGCCTGTTATATCAACATTTAATAAGGATATTTGTAGATCATCAATCACCCAAAGTTTCAGAAAATTTTTTTCACCATCCAAAATGAATTAAAGATTGCCTCTAAATGTGGCCATGTTTTCAATCTGATCAAAATCAGATAAGGACCATTTGTAGGAGACCTCCCATACATAATTCCCACCAAGTTTGGTTCAAATTATTGTCCCAAAAAAACAAATGAGATTTCCAGCCTTTCAGATTTTTCTGATTATCAAACTCATCCATGTTTTTTTCTTATGAGGAAGTCTTAATAAAAATTTAAAAAACATTTGATAACTGAAGGCTCTAAAGAGCTGGTATCTCTGACTTGGATCTATGTTCATCTTCAAAAATGGCCACTCTGCAACATTGTAGACTAAAATATAATTCATGACTAAAATCTCTTTTTTTGTTGATTGTGTCTTGCTTATAATTTTAACTGTAGCAGTTTCTTTCTATCTATTAAAATTATCAAGATAATAAGCAAAAATGCAACAAATTGGTAGAAATCGTCATTAAAGGGCAATAACTCCAATAAGTAGTTGACTGACAATTTCGGCCATGTTCACTTATTTGTAAATCTTGTCTTGCTGATAATTTTTGCTATATAAAAAAGTTTCCTATTATATAATTGTTTTCAAGATAATAGGCAAAAATGAAAAAAAAAAAGGTAAAATTTGTCATTTAAGGGCAATAACTCCTAAAAGAAGTTCTATTTTTTAAGCCATGTCAGCCATGTTGGTTGGCAGGACGGATTATTGGGCACATTTGTTATAAAACTAGATATCCAAATGATGATTGTTGCCATGTTAGGTCTCAATTGACCCATCTGTTTCAGAAGAGATCGATTGATTGATTGATTGGTGTTTAACACCACTTTCATCACTATTGGCTTTTCCGTGAGGGTCAGTTTTTATTGGTGGAGGAAGCCTGAGTGTCCAGAGAGAACCACCAACCTTTGGCAGGAAAACTGACAACATTAAAGTCAATTAAGATTGGAGTCGAACGCACCTGGCATCTGTGGAATTCGAACTCACAACCTCAGTGTTGACAGGCTTGTGATACAGTAGCTGGACTACTAAAACTACTTAAGAGAAGATTATTGTGAAAGTTAAAGGATGACAGATAAGAGTTGAGAATAGCTCCAGACAAAAAAAATTTAAGATTGAATATTTTACAAGTCCTACTCACAGGTAACTTACTAAGTGTGGGCAGGATATCCTTTGTGTGCCCTGAGTTGGAGTACCCTGAATGACCCCTATGTAGTTAATTTTTTTAATTTAATTTTTAATTGAACGTTTATGTATATTGTTTTTCCTTGGAATACAAGTTGAAATACATGCATGAGGATACCCTTAGGCATATCGATATCAAATTCCTGAATGACAAACAAGAAATTTTTCAAAATCAAAAGTGAATTCTACATTCACCAATCCTAACAACATTGTTAAGTTTGCAGTAATTTGATCCAAGCATTCTAGAGATAGTGCATGATATTTAAAAAAATGTCATAAATTTATTCATCTGATGGTCAAAGTCCTACAACTCTGCAAGGACAAAGCACTTTTTTTTTTTAAAAGTCCTACAACTCTGGAAGGACAAAGCACATATTTTTTTTAATCGAACAGTGTGTTATATTTACCTATTCCTACAATCCTATAAAGTTTCAAGTAAATCAATCCAAGCAAACTCAAGTTATGGCACAATATGTGAAAAATTAACTTTCATCTGACAATTAAATCCTGTAACTCTAGAAAGGCAATTAAGAAAATGAAACACAATCGAAAGGGAGCTTCCTGCAATCAATCCAACAATAATGTAGTTTTGAGGAAATTAATCAAGGAATACTGGAGTTAGTGCATGATATGTGAAGAATTGCCTAAAACCGAACACCCCATTCAGATTTGTCTTAATGATGAACTTATCTATGGCTTAGTGGGAACTTTCAAACAAATTTGAAGAGGATTTGATAAGAAATTGATGCACTTTCCAGGTAACAAGAATAATGGATATAAGTCCCCCTCACTAAAAAAAATGGTTCTCGATTTCATATTTTTCTTATCATTACAATCATCTATGGTGTTGATGAATTCTTTCCTCAAATTTGAAGAAGATCGGACAAAAATGAAGGCCCTAGCTAAGCAACAACCAAATGATGAAGGATGTTACATGTAACTTTAACAAGTAATGCAAAGTCTTGTATATAAAGATATTTGTAACTCATGAAGAAGAGCAGAAGCAACATATATTTAGCTTGATATGTTGTGATGTCCATGAACATTAGAATTTCCATTTGTTCTATATATATGTTGTAGATGTTGTTCTTTGAGTCTGATAATGTACATTCCCAAAAATATTAATTCTTGAAGTTTTTATGTCTCATTATTGAGCTTGAGTGAGAAGTGGTCAATATACATGTAAAACTACTGTAAAAATGGAAAAGAAAGGATATGGCATGAAAATCAAAGTGCTTGTAAGCACTGAAGGGTAAGGCTTACTTTCATTTAGCCATTTTGTGAATTTATAATAAAACATTGAATTGTATTTAGCAAGGCAAATGATAAATTTGAGTTGGAGTTAGCATACCTTATGTAATAAACAAAATGTTTCTTGTTTTCTTGACAAGTATGGTAATTCAAATAAACATCATATTGTAACTTAGATAGTATAATATGTCATCAATTAATAGCAAGACATTAACTGGATAGGATCTAAAGAATGATCACTTCACTGCACTATTTTGTTTGAGCTATCAAAGGTAGTGATAACCTTGGGAGATATACATATCAAGTCAGTACCATAAGGTTTTGATTGCATTTCATGCAATCTTTACCCTAAAAACAATAGCAAAAGATCAGTGCTTTAAATTTCATTGTCTTTATCTCAAAATCATCATGATCATAGTGAGGCCTTCTACATGGAACAAACTCTCACCTCACTGCAGTTTCAAGACTGCCACTATAAACCAGTTTGAGCAGAATTCTTTAATAGATGCTGATCAAGCTAGATCTGTGGATTTTGTGCATTGAAAAAACACTGATGTGTGGTAATACAAACAATTATACATTAAATATGTTGTGTATCTGGCAATGAAATCTAACAAATATCGTCATAAACTGTCAAACAATCTTACCCAACTGTAAAAAAAAACAAACAATAAAAAAAGAATGTGTCTGAGGATACGAATGCCCCCACTCAAGCTTTGCAACGAAAATGGAATGGACAGACGGTCAAGGTTTACACTTAATGCCCCCATCGCCTACGTCGGGGGCATAAAAACAGTACACAACCATTGACCAATTGGGATAACTCGAATTATGTTACTAAAAGATGAATTGGAGTACTGACTGATCATAAAGTATGATAGGGTGTTAAAAAGTATGAAGGTAAAGGACAGGGCACCAAATATTTGTTTAAAACTGTGATTAAAATTTCAATGTCATTAATGGACTGTAAAGTTAATTTTATATATTTTATTTTCACAGAGACTTTTATAATTCTAAAGTTATATTATTCTCTTTTCATGGGTCAGAGAATATTGGAAATCACACACAGAAGAATATGTTACCTTAATATGGTATTATTGTACATGTATCTTACATCGTATACTTATGACATTATTAATTCTTAATTCATCAAGACAATTCATACAGTTTAGAAGTCTTTTGTTCTATGCATGCAGTTTTAGTATAACCACTTTACAAAACCCTAAAAAGCCCCATAAACATATACAAATGTAAAATTACAAACAACAATGAACCAACGCCTTGTAAACCTTCAATACGATAGAATCCCTAAATGTAGTACAATGTATACAGTTTTGTATGCCCTTAAGTCAGTAAGATGAATACAAATCACATATTATGTGATACAGGTTAGATGAAAAAGACAATTTATATACATCTGATATTAAAGTTTTTAACAGGTTTCAAGTAAAACTGTGTTTTCTTATATGATTATAAAAGAATTCTTCGTACTGTAAATAACATTTATACCAAATAGCTAAGGCAATGATTGCAAATTGTGGTCATATGAAAAAATAAAATAAAACTGAAATGTCCGCTGATTAACCCTTTTTAAATTAGCTAAATTTAGGATTATGTAACAAAATTTATTACACCTGTTGTGACTGTAAATTGGCTTGGGGTGATAACCCTATTGAGAGGTAAAATACTGTAAAAATGTATTTTTTAGTATGCATTTCTTTCTACATTTACAGATTTAAGTGACAAATGTGATCAGAAATATAGATTGTAAACTGTGAAAATGAGGAGCAATGGCAAAATAACTGCTGATTTGCGGACATAGGTATCATTAACGTGGTTGTATCTACCAGCTATTCTACCTGTAATTACTGCCAGTAGCACTTGCCTTATATTATCTTGTAAGAAGTTGTAACTAAGTGAATTTAAATGAAGCTCGATTGTCAATTAGTTTATCACCTTTATAGTTGGTTCCAAATCAAGTTATTCTACATGAGGCTGGACTTTGGTAACTAGTTGCTCTATACTCTATGGAGTAACAATTTATGCAGAGGAAAATATTCAACTCAAGCAGACGATACCATGTCACATATCAAAATATCACGTGTACCACTGGCTACAAACACTACTGTCTACTAATTAAATTTTAGTTTTGTATTTAACTTTAATATGTAAATACTTAAATGATTAGATAATCGGTAAAAATTACCTTTTAACGCCAAAAGGTGTTCTTTCTCTCTTGCACCTTCCATCTTCTTCAGCTACTTCCGGTATAGAGACAGCTAAACTAAGGACGCATTAAATTTATAACGTGTTGTTTTCTAAGGAAGCTGTATAATTTTTATTCGAGGGTTTGACCATTACATCACATTCAAGTAGTTTTGTTAAATATAAAAAAAAGTCCTTATCTAAATAATGAACAGTTATCTATACTAGATTGGTTCTAAAATATAATTTTGAAATGATCGAAAATACATAGTACCCGGAATATGTAACATTTAATTTAGAATCTATCCTGGGACAAATGGTTGGGGAATAAAAACAAAAAGATAAAGAGACCTCAGACGAGGGTAATTGGAAATGAATAACCAGGAAACAACAGACAGGGTTTGTTTTAAGCATTAAAAATACATTGGCCTTCATTTGTTCATAATTTAGATATCTATTACAGCAGATATTTTTAATGCATACATTTTTATAGACTGACCAAAAATTGGGGACAAGACAAGATTGCCATTGTTTCAAATACTTTCCATCCTCAATCTTAAGCCTAATGGCACTATATAATATAAGGCAGGTGTTACATTTAAAAGAGGACGAAGTCCCGGCTTGGCTATCTGTATAATTCAGCAATACTTTTTGGTAATCAGATATACTGTGTACAAATAAATTTTACCGGAAAAATGTACAAATAAATTTCATGGGTAATCATATGCTTAACAGCAAGGTAGCCTACGTCAACAGTGTGAATGCACAAATGCAACTGTTGTGGAAAAAAGCTAACGATTTAGGATTCACTAGTATATTGATTTTTCTTTTTATTGGTTTTCTAACACGATCTTACATAACTGGGCAACTAGGGCAAAGAAGACGGTAAGAGTTCCATATGGCACCCCCACCATACTAAAAGAACACAATAATGTATTACAGTTTATTCTGTGGGGGTGCCATATGGAACTCTTTCCAACTACTAGTCTGAAGACCAATATTCTGACATTATTCTTATGTGTCTAATAAAATTGAGAATGGAAATGGGGAATGTGTCAAAGAGACAACAACCCGACCAAAGAGCAGAAAACAGCCGAAGGCAACCAAAGGGTCTTCAATACAGCGAGAAAATCCCGCACCCCGAGGTGTGCTTCAGCTGGCCCCTAAACAAAAATATGTACTAGTTCAGGAATAATGCGTTCAAAGTTTTGCAAATACTTACTAGTCTGAATACAATTTTTCTAGCCTAGGGCATCAGACTAGTGCCTAACGGTGCAGACTGCTGTTTGTTACATATAATGTTATTAAAAAGGAATAACTTTTTTATGCAAACAATATTATTTTCTTTCACTTTGGGCTCTTGATATACTGTCATACATCAAAAGATTCTGATTTCAGGCAAAATAAATTTGTTACTTCTTTAAAATGTGATTAGAAATGTGTTAACATGGTTAAAAACTACAACAACAACAATAATTTATTATTATTATAAGAAGGTTACACAGTTAGTTATATAACTAATATTCCCTGAGGCCCTCATCTTAGAAAAGCATAAAAAAAATCGTTAAAAACAGATACATGGCAATCATTAGTATAAAAGTCAAGTACAATGATAATGTTTATTACAACTGCATAAGATATTATCATAAGTTAATGTCTGATTCATTTATTGCATTAAAAACACCATACTCCTTCCAAATAGCAAATGTCATCTTATAATTGATGATAAAACACAATGCACAAGCATTCAAATGACAATGGTGTTTAACCTTTTCTTTATCTTATTGAACGTTTTTCGAACATGATATAATACATGTATGCTACCAAGTTACCAAATCATCACAGATTTTACATATTTTGAAGTTTTAATTATTTCATCCAGCCAATAAGATTTATTGTATATATAATGATGGATCTGCATGTTAAGTTATTGCTTGAAAACAGACAGTTCATTCCATAGTCAACCCATCACAGTCAACTGAGTATTGTATAATTTTTTTCTTTGATATAGTACAGGTACTTTGAATCATACTTATGTAAGTTTAATAAAATTGAGAATGGAAATGGGGAATGTGTCAAAGAGACAACAACCCGATCATAGAGCAGACAACAGCCGAAGGCCACCAATGGGTCTTCAATGCAGCTAGAAACTCCCGCACCCGGAGGCGTCCTTCAGCTGGCCCCTAAACAAAAATGTATACTAGTTCAGTGATAATGGACGTCATACTAAACTCCAAATTATACACAAGAAACTAAAATTAAAAATGATACAAGACTAACAAAGGCCAGAGGCTCCTGACTTGGGACAGGCGCAAAAATGCGGCGGGGTTAAACATGTTTTTTGAGATCTCAACCCTCCCCCTATACCTCTATAATAGTATGCATTATGATAAAGTCACAATTTTGCATGCATATATGATTTTATTTTTCAGACAATACTTGAATGTAGAGTTTGTGATGACGTGTTTCGTTTCCAAGGAGATAAGGTTCCACGGTTGTTGATGTGTGGTCATACAGTTTGTCATCAATGTCTAACCAGATTGCAAGTTCATGGCACTTCTATCCTGTGTCCATTTGACAGACAGCCCACAGAAATTGGTGATTCTGGTGTATGGGGATTGAAGAAAAATTTTGCATTGCTAGAATTGCTAGAGAAATTACAGTTTACAACTCAAAATGCATCAAACATAAATCTCTTTGCACAACAAAACTTAGATAAGGAAAAGGAGGTAATATACAAAATTGATGTGTTTTAGTAAATAGTTCTTTATGCCCAAATCAAACATACTTCTATACAACTAGTGTTCATACTTGAAATGATTGTTAGTACTAAATCTTTTGTCAATGTGTTATTTTTCAATTCATTCAGACCACAAGGCAAGGAAATAATACATTAACAGTTGTCATGCAAAAGGCTCCTCAAAATTACAAAATATGCTGGGAAATTTAATTAATAAAAAGCATTTATGTGATCCCTCAATTCTCCCTGGAGTCTTCCTGATGAGTCTTCACTTGTCCCTGTTTGGCTGCCAGGGAGAAGTCACTTTTTAAAAATTAGTACATTCATAGAAAATTGTCTTATACTACTTGTTTATGAAAGAAAATCAGCACACATATTTAAAATTTTTAGGGCATTCACAAACATTGGTGAATCCCTAGTAGGATATTACATTGCACTAGCTTGGGAGTGTATTGGATAGATCTCCTAAGAGGAATAAGGTTCTAACATATGATTTAACCTTTTTAGTATATTGCAAAACTTACAAGATGACAAAAACAATGTTTACCTACTGATGAGGTTATCTTTTTAAAGCAAACTCACAAATGTTATGTTTTACAGGGAATATAGCATATCTATTCAATAACATTGCATTATGTGGATTCATTGGTGGCTCAACTTGTGTACGGTACTACTGAATTGTCTCCCTTAGCACATTTAAAAAAAATATTATTCTTTAACATTTATACAATCAAAACACAAATCTGATATGAAAAAAGCACCAATTTTTTTTCTGTATGCAAAACAATATTAAAAAAAATAAATACTGTAGGTTTCATCATTTGTATTCAAATGATATCTAATAACATTTATTTCAGTATTCAAATTCAAATGATTTCTAATTACATGTATTTCGGTATTTAATTTCAAATAATTTTTAATTACAGTTGGATATTCCATGTGATGAGAATGAACTTCACACGGCTGTTTTATACTGTATGACATGTAGTACACACTTGTGTGTAGAGTGTGCAGAACTTACACATTCCACCAGAACACTGGCGCGACACAAAAGAGTTCCATTATCTGAAAAACCAAAAGAGAATCCAAAATGTCCATATCATCCAATGCATTTGGTAGAATTTGCTTGTTTAGAAGAAGATTGCAAAAATAATCCTTTGATGTGTTATATATGTAAAGATTATGGTAGACATGTTAAACATAGGGTAAGACTTAAATTGCATTGTTACTATTAGTGAAACTAGTTAAATAACCATACATTGTCTTATGGTGTAATACCACCAAATCATAGTATGTCACATCCGGTTGCATATGAAAAAGGGTGGAAAAAAAATATTCCCTTGAATTTGACAGTTGTAGGAAATTAATCCTACTTTTCATTGCAGTAAAATATTTCTGAGTCATAAACATATATCTTGTGTGTTTCAAAGCACCATTCTTTTTTTATTTGGTGTTTCTATAAAATATTTTGGAAACTTGAGGTTACATGGTTACTAAAGCTTGTAAATAGGAAAGAAAGGGGTGGAAATTTGATTGGTTAACATCCAGTGATGGTTATTATCTTATATGCAATGAAATGTTATATAAAATTTTGTCTGTAGTACTGGATAGGATAAAACTTTACTCATGCCAAGTATTTCTTTATTTGAAACAAAGATAAATTCTGCACAATTTTTTGAAAAGTGCAAATTTAACAAAGACTAATAGGGGAAAAACAATGGCAGTATTACACCTTATGATATCAAATTAATTTGTGTTAAATGAAGCTGGTTGAAATGTGAAGCTCACCAAGCACTCATCAAGAGAGAGGAAAATCAGGTAGATATTCATAATGCATCAGATCTTGAAGTACAAACTAACCATAAAGAAATGGACCAGCTTTTGTTGTTCTTCATCTGGTCAGTACTTCATTAAAAAGTAGATGATGTTATACAAAGCATAAATCATCACATGAATACTGTTATTTTTGCAGTTGGAAGACATTTTTTCCTGTTTTCTCAGGAAAGTCAATTTTGCTTTAACTGATATTCAAACAAAATTCATAGTTGATTGACTGTTATGTATTTCTTTACCACTTACATAATTATGGGTAAGATTATAGTTTTAATTAAATTTATTTATAATTATAAAATGACAGTTTTAAATCACACATTGGTCATCAATAATATTATACAATTTGTATATATATATTATTCTCTGTAGAACTTCTACAAACAAAATGTACAAGATTAGGCACTGTTTGCTACCTCATGTCTTATATTTTCATAAAACTGTTATTTTGTAGCATTCTCTATTGGACTCTGAAGCAACGAATGTAAGGACATCAATAACAAATGCTGTACAGCAAATCAAATCCTTTGGGGAAGAAGTAGCTGATTCAGCAAGAAAATTGGGTGTGACCATACAACAGATAGAGGGTGGTGTGCAATTATTACAGAGTCCTGATGGGGCTACATCTACACAGAGGGTAGGTATATGGACTAATGAGTCACAAATTGAGGGCATTGTATATTAACTACCGTCTTTATAATTCTATATCTCAACATTTAATGTCACAAATATGTATACTAGGTACTATGATGTAAAGACATATCCAGTTGTGTTTTACCATTGTTTAGTATTGCAAATAAAGATCTCCCAGATCCTTTTGTAATCTGTGTAATCAATTATTACTGGACATGATAATTAACAAATGCAGGATATAAAGTTATTAGTGTCTCCCTTTACATAGATACAGTTTTACAGATATTATAGACAGAATGGAAAAATCAATTTCCATGGCATAGAAGAAATTGTTTATTTTCCATGAAATGGACTCGCAAGGAGCACAGTTCAGTGTCAGACATTACACAAAATAAGGTACAAAGTTCAAAAACTTTGAACATATATTATGTTGTACACAATTATTTCCTGCATTTTGTGTGGCAGATTATTCATTCTAATCCTATCTTGGGCAAGATTAAGTTTTTATAATTCTTACGAGGCCAGATTATTCATATTGGAGTTCCAAATCCTCCTCCATCCTCCCGCAGCTTGCAATGGTTACTTCCTATTACTTATTTAAAAGATCTGATGGTCCTACACCTACACAGAGGCAGTGTATATTTAGAATGACGAATGGATAAATAAATAAATGTTGAGGATATATGTAGAAAGATTGCATTATTAAAGTATAAAATATATAAAAAGAACACCAGAAATTACCAAAGTACAACAGGTAACAATAACCACCAAAAACCAAGTCCTCAAAGAAAATAGAGAAAAAAACAAAGATCATTGAACAAGACATGGTCAAGATGCCTCACTTAGTACAAGCACAATATGTGTTTGGGTTACACCAATTTTACATGTGCTCAATCCTCCACATTTACCTATCTAGACCATATATCATGAAAGTAAAACACACAATAAAAATCTGCCCAGTCCATGTACCTACAGGATGAACACCAACTTGAACAAGAAAATAAAAGAAGGCACATGGAAAGCAGAGTGAAAATGTGCTTGTCTCATTGGCAGTCATACCACTATTTTTATATTGCTATTACAGGAAGCTAGCTAATGAATGAACGAACAAAGAAATTACTGTACTTGTTCATGTAATTTGTATTCTATTGTTGAATTTAGAAAGATTGAAAATAACATATTGTAATAGTAGCATTTTCTTACCTCTAATTTTAGGTTCCAGGTACTGCAGAACAGTCAAGGGCAAAAATTAAACAGTATTTTTATGATTTACGAGAGACATTGAACAGACAGGAAGTGGCTGCCTTGACAACTGTTGACACACATATTCGTGAGAAACTTTGTATGCTTCGACAACAACAGGAAGATATGGCAATCTTGCTGTCCCAAATATCTGCAGTTTGCCACCAGTGTGAAATCACATTGCAACAAGTAATATTATGTTTGTTTTTTTTCTAAACTGGATTCTTATCTTCGTAATAACATGAAATTATGTAATGGATAGAATTTTAAAAATGTATAAAGTAGGTTCCATGGTTTTGACTGTTTTAGCAATAATCTTTTATTAGCTTTAAGTGATTGAAATACTATTATTTTGGATCTCCACTACAACTAACCTTAATTTTGTACCCTTTAACCAAATGACTGGTAAAAATATCCCTTTTCATGTTTTTGATTTGCATTGTTGCTAGTGAAAGAATAAGTAAGTTTGCAGGAACATGTTTTTAATTTTTGTTATGATGAAACACTGGAAATCAATATATTGATGTTTTTTCATATATGTAAGAACTTTTTTTAACATATGATAATTTGTATTTAGTTACGGTTAAAATTTCTCTAGGAAATGTTTAAAATGCTGAAATATTCAAAATAATCTTACTGCAGGATATGTATTTCAAGAACATAATAACAAAATAAATACATATTTATGAACAATAAGTTTATCTAACATTTTGTCTAAACATAGGTAAAATAGTATTAAAGCATATTTCATTGGAAAAGAGAAGAAAACATCCTCGTAAAATTTATTTAACATAAAAAAAACTACAGGATAAAAAGAGTTACCTCCCATCTTATAGTTAATCTTGAATTATGTATGATATTTTTATATCCAACATATTTTTAAATCATATTTTGAATAGGATAACCTGAAGTAAAAAAATCTTAATTGTTTCAGGATGCAGCTAAGATTTTGTTAGCTAAACAAGACGTGAAGACTTTATTGGAGACAATACAGAAACAACAACAACAGTTTTCTGATGTTCCAGAACAATTGCCATTAGATCCTGCTATACCAATAACATTTACAAAGGTCATCGTTTTATATGTTTTATTTATTTGGAAACTCATGTTCTGCTTTTATGCTGTAAACGGGTACAGATAATAACTAGATATATGAAGATGTGGTATGAGTGCCAATAAGACAACTCTCCATCCAAGCCACAATTTGTAAAAGTAAACCATTATAAGTCAAAGTACGGCCTTCAACACGGAGCCTTGGCTCACACCGAACAGCAAGCTATAAAGGGCCCCAAAAATGACTAGTGTAAAACCATTCAAACAGGAAAAGCAACGGTCTAATCTATATAAAAAACGAGAAACAAGAAACACTTATGAACCACATCAACAAACGACAACCAACGTAATCCATTAAAACCTAAATTATTTAGAAATAAAAAAGTTTGATTGGCAGTATTTGAAAAAAAAAAAAAGCAACACACATAAATGTTTGTCACGTTCCCCACTTTGCATTTTAATTAGAAGATAGAGGATGGGTCCAACTTTTCATGCTCCAGATCTCCTGAACCTTGGTTATACATGAAAAGGGGATAAAAATATATGAAAATTATACATTGGAAATGTATGACGTATGGCCATCTTTGAATTCTTGAAAGTCTTTCCTATGGAAGGCTGAAGTTCAGTTTGAAGAATTTCTTGAAGGAGCAGGATCAGCAAAGCCTTAATTTGGCCCAATTCATTTTCATGTTTATTTTGTTCCTTTCAATGAGAAATATATGCAATTTTGTAACAAAAATAATGAAAAGAAATCATTTTGTACAATATTTTTAATGGAAAAGATGAAGATAATATACAAGAAGACATTTTTTTCAAAGACGTTCATATACGTAACAGTATAAAGTACTAATGGACAAATTTTTATTTTTTTACAAAACAAAAGGGGCATGTCATAGATTGATTATTTTTCACATTTATTTTCTTTTTCAGGATAACCGTGTTCATATTGGTCCAAAGATAGAGATGAGGGTTGTAACCCTTGGTTTAGATGATGCTGGAAAAACTAGTATCTTATTTAAATTAAAACAAAATGAATTTATACAAACTATTCCAACAATAGGTAAGGAATGTTTCAGATTTTTGATTGTTGCCCTTTTTTGAAAGGTTATTTTTTTAATTGCATATGCACTTGGCACTGTCAACAAATAATTCTGAATACTTGATATGGAGATTTTTCTTCAAATTTTACTTATAAAAAGAATTAAGAAATAATGAAAGTTGTTCTGCAGGTACAGATGGTAATTATATTAATGACATTAAAATGATGTCTGAAGTTGTATAGCCAGAACATTTTTGCAGTAAACAAGAACTACAAATGCTTGAAACAAACTTGGCATATATCTCACACATGATGGAATTTTACAGGCTACACTTTATAAGAGAAGAGATAACAACACACAATGTAGTGAACTGTATTCAACACACAACGTAATAACTGTATTCATATCTGTGATACATATTACATCACCACACTGTTAAGATATTTTTTTAACATACGTGCTTTCAAGCAGTATTTATTTAATAGATTGTCAGCTAAAACAAAGGTATCCATACCATTATTTACTCAGAATTGCAAACATATTAAGTTAATTAGTGTTGTGACATACATCTGAATTTCTTGCGGGTGTTTATTGCAGATTTTCGTTATGTTTTTTGTTACTTTTTTCTTGCAGACTGCTTGCCTATACCTTTGTATTAGATTCTGACAGTATATTCTGTCACACTTACCAAATGCCTATTGTTTCTGCACACTTTAAAAAAGAACTTACATATCAAACTGAGTCATATTCTTTTATCTCCTAGGTTTTAATGTAGAAACAATAGAATATAAGAATTTGAAGTTTACAATTTGGGATGTTGGAGGACAACATAAGATAAGGCCATTGTGGAAGCATTATTACTTCAATACTCAAGGTAATAAAACCTTCATATATCAGTGTTTCTTAAGGATGTACTTAGGTGAAATTAAAAAAATCTAGAATTTAAAATTGATACTATAAGACAGAGAAGAGCATTAGTTAAGGAAAAAAATTAGCTTAAAATATTGATAGGTTATGGAGCTCCTTTTCGAGATAATTAATTTTTAAAAAAGGCCAGAATAGGCTGACTCTGACTTTTACCTTATGTTTGCATTGGTATTATTTGGGTCTCAAATTGAAAGAAAAGAAATCTAGAATCCGCTTAAATTTTGGTAAATGACCTTTTATGAGGTATTGACGTCTTATATGAAAAGAAAAATGGGTGTTATGGGGCAAAATATTTTACCCTGTAACGTAGGAAAAAAACCAAGGAGTCCGAACATCTGACAAAAATTCCGAAACCTGACCTAAGTACATCCTTAATACATATTTATAGTGCTTATGAAAACTTCTATCAGGAAAGAATGTAAAAAATGATGAACAAATACTTTGTATGATTGAAACTTTATTTAACTACCATTTAATGAAGTGGGTGTGTATAGCAATCATTGTGTTGTTCACTTGTCCTCAGTCTGCACATAGTATACCTTACTCTTCCAAAACCAGTAATCAGGTGTAAATAAAACTTTTAGAATATATTGATAACTTATGTCTTTGTGCACCTTTTACTTTATTCTTTATGTTGGCTACGTAACCCTCATTAAAACAGATACATACATGTAGCCATATCTTTATAAATTTGTGAGAGGGATGAGAATTTGTTAGCACTTCTCCTAGTTTTTAACTGGATTTTCGAAGTAAAAATCGGTTATTGATTTAATCCATTTCTGTACAAAGGGAAATAATTCATTTTTTAAAAGATTTTTAAAAGACATGTATTAATGATAAATGACATTTTGGATTTTTTTTTCTTTTCTTTGGTAAATTGTTTGAAGAATTTTGTGGTAGGTTTGTTTGTTATTCTGTATAAACTAATTTTCTGAATGCTAAATATATATATATTTTTTTTATGAAGTGAACTCCTTTAATTAGATAATAATCTATTTTTATTAAAGGATATATTTCATTACATTTAAAGTTGTTGACATTGATAGATAAGTTACAGATCTATATTAGTTTGTGACAAATGAAAGAAAAAATATTTGGAACTATTAATTATATTTGATTATAATTTGAAAATAGATATACATTGTGTTACATCATATCTAATTTTAGAGAACTATTTTTAGTGATTAAATCATATCTAATGTTAGAGTACTATGTTAAACCTTATTTCTGTTCGAAGGGAAATAACTCAAACTTATTCCATGAACCAGTAATGATAACATCAAAATTTCTTTATAACTATTTTTTTTAAGTCATGTGTGTTTTGAAGGTAGATGTCACAGTTGTTATGTGGTATTTTATTTTTGTTGTGTGTGTTAATGTTTAATTTTTACATGATCCTGTTTGGGGTTCAGATTTGCAAATATCATTTTCATTATTAATTAGATAATAATCTATTTTAAATATTCAATCACAATCCAAATTCAGAGCTGTTTTAAGCTTAAATGTTGTGTCCATACTTGCTCAACTGTTCAGGGTTTGACCTCTGCAGGAAAATCCAGTTTGCTGTCACTTGACAGCCTCTTGTTATAATTGAATTTGAAATTCATTAAACTGCTTTTAATCTACATTGTACTACTTCAATGATAATGCTAATGATACTTGATTTCTGGTAGATACCACCTTATAAAATATCTTCAAAGAGAGGTAAATCAGACATGAAAGCTGTAATATTTATTTTGGTCCAGAATGAATGAACTGCCCTATTGACCTGGGATCATTTGGGGGAAAATGTGTCAAGGACATTGTGTCGTGAAGATATTTGCATTGTGATGTCAAATTTTTCCAGGAAAAAGCACCAATTGCAAGACCTAAGTTTTAGGTCTTGAATTTTTTTAGTGTAATTTAATTTTTAAATATTCATATAAACATATCATCTCCCTTAAGGACCTCCTCAGTTTAACTTTCCTTAAATTTACTGGAAAATAATTTTATATCACAAGAAAAGCTTTTTCATTGTTTTTCTTCATCAAGACATTGCTGAAAGGTCTTCAACAGTGTGTTTAAGATCTCACTCCTTATAATAAAGTCAGTTCAGCTCTTAATGTTGACTAATATGTTGTTTTAGACTGGGCCCAAGTTAGTGGTGTAACATCTTACAAAGTCTACCCGAATTATTTGCCCTATACATACCTTATTTCCTGCCAAGTTATCAAACATATACCTCAATGTGGCCCGTGGTTGTCTTGTATTTTTTTGTGCAGATAATTTTGTTTTATGATTGTTTTATTTAATTTTTAGCTGTAATATATGTGATAGACAGTAATAATAAAGATCGACTAGCAGAAGCACAAAATGAACTTGCCAAATTAGTACAGGAAAAAGAATTGAGAGAAGCGTCATTGCTTATTTTTGTTAATAAACAGGTAATGTATAATTCATACATTTAAACATAGAATCTAAAGTTGATATACAGTTATTTGACAGTAAAATGAAAAGATATTATTTGGATGTGACGGATACAATATTTCAAATATATAAAAAAAAAAAGAATACTACAGAATATTAAAGATTATATAATAAAGCAAGCCTCACATTTCTACCAGTTTAAGCATCATACAAATAAATTTTATATTCCATGACAATGTATGGTAATTCCATTTATATGTATCAACATTCCCTATGTTTAAACTAGTAAAATTCTTTTATAATTTGCATACCTACAAATACTTGAATCAGACTGGTTTGTTAATTTTTTTTCCCTTGGTTAGATAGACCATGTTACCGAAACTACTTTCGTGACCTATATTAACACTATGTTGATTTCACTGTGTTCTAGTCATGCGTGGTACACATGCATGGGATCCAGGGGTTCCAAGGAAAATTGATATTGAAACTGTTATTTCTAATCTTATGCATAGCAAAAAGATACAATGCATTAGAGCTTGGAAAATGTTTAAATTAAGATCAAATAATATTCTGCAAAACATGACTTCATTCAACTGAAAAGTCTCAAGCTGAAGGTTATTCCATTACTTTTAGTCTTCAAATTCAGATAATATCGCATTAAAAGGGAGTTTTTGAGATAGGTGTTATTTCATTTTAGATTGAATTGCATTAATCGAACATTTATGCATTTGTGCAAGTCAAAATTGCTGCTAACTCCTTAGTTACAACATGTAAATTGTGGAATTGACTGTAAATGGTAGCCAATGAACAAAAAATCATTATTTAAAAATTGCAAAATAATTGGGTTAAGAATTATAAGGATTAAACACAATTTTTTAGAGGTTATTGATGTGTAAATTGGGTGGCTGACATACAAACTTAACATAAAAGTCCTTGGTACTTTTAAAATTCTGCAAAACATGATGTCATTCGACTGAAAAGTCTCGAGCTGGACTTTTATTTAGTTTTTGAATTAATCGCCTCAGTTTACACATCAATAACTATAATTCTATAGTAACATCATTTGTTATTTTCAAATATAATACCAAAACACTAGCAGAAATATTCATTGGTTTTGCTAGGGACAAGTATTTCTATGGTGATGTCTACATTTAACACAATAATGTATCTTTATTACCTCTAGGATATACAACCATGTGTTTCAATAGAAGAAGTAACAGAATCGTTTGGACTTTTTAAGTTATGTTGTAATCGTAGTTGGCATATACAGGCCTGTGATGCTAACAGTGGATATGGACTAAAGGATGGATTAGAGTGGTTATCTAGACAGATGGTAGCTGCAGGGGCACCAGATCTGGCATAAAACGGGTTTACAGTGGGGAGTTTTGTGTGATTAGGACATTTTAAGGGTTTTTTAAATTGCTATTTTGTTTATTAGCTTATAAATAGATAAATTCTCCTGCTTCTTGAATCCTCCCAAGACACTTACATTTTGATTAACATCACAAATAAGTTTTGACCTTCCCAGTAACTGAAGTCACCATATGGGAGCGACACAGATATTGATACTAGCTGTACATATTAATATATAAGTAGCCGCACACTATCGAAACTTTGTCTTTGTGATTTACATAACTTTTAAAGACAATTTATAAAATTAATGTCTTGTGTATTTATAGTGGGTCATAATTGGATAATAGGAAGAAATAGCCAATCTTTAGAAGCATTAAACCTGCTACTTTTAATCTGAAGACATCTGTGCCTATTTTTCAGGTACTAGATGGTAGTTTTTTATGCCCCACCTAGGGGCATTATGTTTTTTGGTCTGTGCGTCTGTTCGTCCATCCGTCCGTTCGTCCGTCTATCCCGCTTCAGGTTAAAGTTTTTGGTCAAGGTAGTTTCTGATGAAGTTGAAGTCCAATCAACTTGAAACTTAGTACACATGTTCCCTATGATATGATCTTTCTAATTTTAATGCCAAATTAGAGTTTTGACCCCAATTTCACGGTTCACTGAACATAGAAAATGATAGTGCAAGTGGGGCATCCTTGTACTATGGACACATTCTTGTTATCTCCAGATTTAATTTATGCTGATGTTTAACATTCCTAAATGATTTGGAGAACAGGTCAATTCCTAACATATCATTATACAAATCTTTTAGACATGTGCAACAATTACAAATGCACTAAAAATTGGAGTTCTTTCCTGTGATTAAAAAATTTTATAACCTCTCCGCTTCAGCTAGTACCAATATCTGGTGTCGCTTCCATACGGTGAAAGCAAATACAAAAACAAAATATCTTTAAAACTTACTTGTATGACTCCCTTAACTTTGATGAAACCAGCTAATTTTTTTGTCAACTTATCCTACAAAATATATGTACAGTGTATAAGAGATTTACTACTTGTTCAAATGAATCTTTGTACATATACTGCAATAGGACAATTTAGATAAGAAGTAACCATATTGCTAAAAGATACAATTTGAGAAAAACTACTGGTATATTGAAAAGTTCACATGTTACTGAACATATTTTAAAGCTATATAACAATAATTGTCTTACTATTTAATTATGTCTCCCCTTCAAAAAAGGGAGACATTATGTTTTAGTAGTGTTTCTTCTTCTTATGGTTTTTCAACCTTGTCAAGGCCATAACTTTTTTATCTTTTGACACTGGCTTTATATATTTGGCATGATGGTGTATTACTAAAAGATGGTGTGTCCAATATCATCATGACCTCAAGGTCAAAATACTTGATTTTTTGACACTTTCGTTTTTATGACATCATCAAGTACGCACCAGAATCTTCAGATCTTGCTTGCAGTGGAAATATATTTCCATAACAGGATTTATAGCAGGAGGGTAACTTATTATCATCTTTATTAAAAAAAAGAGGCTACATCAGTCATCAAAGTTCTTCCTAATACAGCTTCCACAATGTTAGAAAAGGAAGATTCAACTTAAATCCCTAATCACTCACAATCTTCCAATATGTATGAGTGTTCATATTTGTCATCAATAGCATTCTTGGCATGGCAATCAGAGCTGTTGTCAGAAACTTGAGAATCTTTGTCATTAAAATGTTCACCAGAAAAGGTTCACTGGCAGTACTGGTTTTATATGAGCTTTAAGATGGACATAGCATTATGAATGGCTCTTTTTGAGCTGGAGATGGACACAAAGGATACAAAATGTACATATCAAATCATAATTGAGATTGACCAACATGAAAGTAGATTTTGGTTTGATTATGTCTTATAAACATTATAAATATGAATGTAATCTAAAATATTTATTGTATTATTAGATGGATGAATTTAGTTTATCGAGTACACTTCATATAGCTGTATTTTTCTTTTAAAAAAAGTCTTTTGAAGTACATTCTCGTTCATTTTCACAATATTTGAATGTAAGGTTCATTATGATTTTTTTTATTTTGATATGCATAAGAATTAATGAGCATTTTATTGATCAATAGGTAAAACATTGGGGGAAAAAAACAATAATGACAAATTCAAGAAAAGTCGTTGGATGACCTAGGCAATATGTCAAAGAAGCTTTTGTAATGATGCTAGCTGAGGTGCTTAAGTGGTAATATTTGATCATTAGAAGTTTTTTTGGGTTCTTGATTTTTTTTAATGGTGATTTGAACATGAAAATACTTTCTGTTGTTATTATTATTTGTTAAGTATTTTGTTATTAGCATTTTCAATTTGTACCTCTATGAATGTGCTGCTGTTATATAATACTGGTATTAAATTATAAAATAGTTATATTCGTTTTTATTGATGTTATTTTGTTGCCAGATAAAGGAAGGGTACAAAGACTTCTTTTCAAGCAGTAATATATTTTTTTAGTTTGACTTATAAACACATTGTCTAATTTTTCCCAAATCATGTTTATAGTTGGTGAGTTTTGTTGAGTTTTGTTATGTCGAGCAAAAGGTGGATGGGAAAAAGAAGGTACATATTGTGTAATCATCCACCTACAGTTCTTAACCCAGAAAAAAGTCCCAGATCCTCAAACTTAAGCATAAATTTTCAACATCATTCTACATTGAGGATACTTATTTTGTGTAATCAACACCCCTGCAGTTGTCATTCCTGGACCTTCAAACTGTTTAAATGCTTGCGTATAAAATAAAGATGTAAATCTCACTTTTTTACACAGTAAAGACTTAGAGACTGTTAGCAGCTTTCTCAAAAGATTAACCTTAGTAATTTTTCAGCAGCATTTTGATATAGTGACTCCTATTTGGTCTGTTTTAGCTTGTCTCTTTCAAGGCAGACTGTAGTTCCCTTTGATTCATAAAGTCATCACTGGATGTTAAACAACAATTCATCCATCAATGAAAAATGCTAATGTCATAATCATTTATCAAATTACAAACTAAGTACTGCAACTTTGCAAATTTGGGTCTTTTACCTATTTTTATGGCCCTGCCACAAAGTGGTCTGGGCCATATAGTGTTACCCTTATCCGTCATTCCGTCATTCTGCAACGAACAGTTATACAGACTTATTTCTAAACCCCTTCACATATTGAGCTGATTTTTAGTATGTGAGTCTAATATGATAAGTTACAGGTTGGTTCTGATCCACTGATTTTTGCTGAAATTACGGGCTTTGGACTGAAAATTACGTTAAAATAACAGTTTTATAGATTTTTTTTCTTTATGCCTTCACATATTGAGATGATTTTTAGTATGTGAGTCTACTATGATGAGTTATAGATCATTTTTACATTTAGTTCTGCTCCGCTGATTTTTGCCGAAAAAACGGGCTTTGGAATTTGAAAATTTTGTGAAAATAACAGTTTAATATAGACTATTTTTCTATACGCCTTCACATATTGAGCTGATTTTTAGTATGTGAGTCTGCTATGATGAGTTACAGATCTAGTTTACGTTTGGTTCGGCTCCACTGATTTGTGCCAAAATAACGGGCTTTTGACTTTGAAAATTTCGTGAAAATATCAGTTATACAGACTTTCATTCTCAAATTTCCACTCCTAAAAATGGCTTCAAAGTTTTTTTGTGAGTGGGGCCATTCGTGTCATTCCGACACATCCATTTATACATCTGTCATAGACATGATTTATTGTGGTACACTGTTGTTTGTCAATCCACCTGTAAACATGTCATACGAAAGCTAAAGAATTCTTTGAACAATTTCGTGATACTTGTATGGAATATACAAATCGCTGGAAGAAAGCTCCCATTGATTTTGAAATTTTTTTAGTTTGTTATTCTAGAGTTATGAGAGACTTTCATTGTCAGATGTAAGGCAATTTTTCACATATAAATCACTAACTCTGATCAAAAATACTTGAATTTTTATGCTACTGTTGGGATTGGTAAAAATAAAGTTCCATTTCAATTTGAGGAAAATTGTCTGGTTTGTCATTCCAGAGTTGACTTTAACAATCAGTTTTATGTCAATTTTTCACATGTTTTGGTAGAAGCAAGCTCTCTTTCTTGGAAATGTTCCGATTTTTTTGAGGTAAAATTATCGAATTATACTTTATTAAGCTGAGGACAACCCATGCTTTGCAAATTTTAGGGGGGGGGGGGGGGGGGGGGGGGGGTGCACGCCCGTCACGCCCCCGCCTGAATCTGCCCCCAGTGATAAGTGAACTATTTTCTCCATGTTCATTTGATTTATTCAGTTTGCATGAACTTGATTCTGTTAGTTTTATAATCAATTTTATATTTTTATATGACTGCAATAAATTTTGCGGTTGTATATTGGTATCACGTCGTCGTCGTCAGTGTCGTCCGAAGACAGTTGGTTTCCTGACAATAACTTTAGTATAATTAAATAGAAATCTATGAAATTTAAACACAAGGTTTATAACGGAAGGTTGGGATTGATTTTGGGGGTTATGGTCCTAACAGTTTAGGAATTAGGGGCCAAAAAAGGGGCCCAAATAAGCATTGTTCTAGTTTCCAGACAATAACTTGTGAAACGGTGTATGGATCTCTCTGAAATTATACCACAAGTTTCCATACCACAAAGGTATGGTTAGGATTTGCTTTGGGGTGTTATGGCTCAAACCGTTTAGGAATTAGGGGAAAAAACAAGGGTTTCCTGGTTAATGGACAATTACTTAAGACAATTTAAAAGCAGTGTAAGGGAGGTAATCCAAACACAACGTTTTGATTACCTCCCTTACACTGCTTTTAAATTATGTATTAAGAAATGTTGTATTGTCTTGAGATGATTAGCTGTCAATTTATTTTTAGAAGTTACTATTAAGAAATATTAATTTTAGCCATGATTATGTATGTCATTTTCTATATAAGACTTTTATGGTGTATTTAAATGGGTAATTATGGCTGCAAACTCCATTGGAAATTTGAATTGAGATTATGACCATATCTTGAAGGAAAGTAATTTTTGGGGGAAACAGGGGGGGGTGGTCAAAAAAAATTGTGGGGGGTCAATTTTTTCTCATTTCAGATTTTAGAAATTAAAAAGAAAAATTCTTCAAACATTATTTTTTTTGCAAAAAAAAGCGTGGGGGGGGGGGGGGGGTGTCAATATGCAACAGCATAGTGTATTGCACAAAAGCAAAAAAAAAAAAAGGGGGGGGTAAATTTTTTTTTTTTTTGTAGGGGGAGAGGGGTCAATTCGCAACAGCAAAGTATATTGCACAAAAGCAAAAAATTGAATATAAATTCAAATCATATAACCAATTCTAAGTTCTTTGACTTCAGTTATTCTGTGTCAGAAACCTATTATGAGTCAAATATTTAATTACAATCCAAATTCAGACCTGTATCAGGTGCGAATATTGTGTTCATTTTTGCCCCAACTGTTCAGGGTTGGACCTCTGCGGTCGTATCCAGCTGCGCTCCGCGAAGCAATTTATTTACATTAAGCCCATTGTGTGGTGCTATTTGACCTATTCAATTTCATGCAGGTTTGAAATAGTTCATTAATGTTTGGATATTATTTTTATTTTTAGTCATTTCTTTTGTCAATGTACTTACATATACATGTATTCACCTGAGTCCGTTATTTGATTTACACTTTATAAGAACTTTGTGGTGCATTGTTGTTTGAAATGTTAAGTTGAATGAGGTAATCTTGTGTAGTTACCGATGTCTCCTTGTGTAGTACTTATATCATAGAAACCTCTTTAATGTATAACAACATACAAAAAAGTAGATCAAATGATCCTGAATTGAGATAAGAATTAAAACAAAACAATTTAAATTAAAAACCAATTGTTCAGAGAACAATTGAAGGTCTTTCCACTTCTTACGATTCATTTTGATATGAAAATATTAAAATACGGTTTAAAGTGTCATATACAGTGTCACATGATACCTTAATGTATGCTGATTCCAAAAATATGTGGTTTCTAAACAATTTTATTGAAATAAGGGAGATAATTTGTTACTTACGGCCTGAAAAATGTCACTTCCGGTATTATTTGATAGTATACTTGACACTGATTCCCAAAGTATATGGTTCTATATACTTTAACATCAAATAAGTACAAAACAAAGCTACTTCTGGTTTACACAAAGTCATTTCCGGTTGGATTTTCAAGCTCATGTAAATTGCAACCTAAAGAAAAGAATCCCATGGCTTTATCGTGTCTAAATATGAAGTTAAAGCAAAGGTCAAAATCTAGAACGTCAATTTCAACTTTGACCTTGAGCTCAATTTCAAGGTCATAAACCAAGGACCTTTAATCAAATTACCCTAGGTCTTTATTATACTTGGTAAATGAGTTATACCACCATACATGTGATTTTAAAAATAAAAAGGGAGAAAACCCTCCTTTACAGTCAACGTACCCTTGCAATCAAAATTTACGTGTTACGACATGTGGCAACTAACAATTTAGTAAAAATAATTTGTCGATATCTTATACGGTTTTTGGAAAGAAGTGAAAATAAGCCAAAATTTTGAATATGACCTTGACCTTTGACCTTGACCTAACATTCATTTTTTTGGACCAAGGACCTCAAATCAAGAGACTCTAGGTCTCTATCACTTATGGTTTACCAGTTAGAAATTGCATAAGGGGGAATAACTCTCATATGGAGTCTCCAGATAGCTTTGATCCAAATGGTCATCCTAATCCTGAAGATGTAATGAGCAATTTGGTAAAATAAATTTGTCATAAACTTTTACGGTTGTGAAGGAGTAGTGGCCACAAGAAAAACAGTGTTTGGGGAGATAACTCTTACAACGTAAAGTGTCCGGTTAAGCAGTGTTAGTTTCAAAAGCGTATAAACTGTACGATATCATATTCCAAATATATAAGCGACATCTTATAAAACAAGAACACTACGAAAGAAAAAAATTAGGCGGAAGGAAAAAAAAATAATTAAAAACCAATTGTTCAGAGGACAATTGAAGGTCTTTCCACCCATAAAGATCTATTTTGATATAAAAATATTAAAATTTGGTTTAAAATGTCATTTCCAGCGTCAAATGATAGCTTATTGTACGATGATTCCAAAAATATATGGTTTCTATACATTTTTTTTTTAAATAAGGGAGATAATTTGTCAGTTCCGGTTAGAAAAATGTTACTTCTAGTATAATTTGAATGTTTACTTGACACTGATTCCAAAAATATATGGTTCTATATACTTTTTATATTAAATAAGTGCAAAAAATAGCTACTTCCGGTTTACATAAGGTCACTTCCGGTTGGATTTTCCAAAGTCAAATGGCTTGCAACCTAATGCAAAAAGGTCCCAGGGCTTTATCATGTATACATATGAGGTAAAAGCAAAGGTCAAAATCTA